CCCCCCACGTGACCCCCACCGGGGCACCCTGTCATGTGACCTTACCGGGATTATGATCCCCCCGGGGGACACCCCAATGTGACCCCCTGGAAGAGGCCTCACGTGTCACCCGCCCCGGGAACACCCCCAACGTGACCACACCTTACCACCGCGGTACCTCCAGCACGGGAACACCCCCGCAAGTGACCCCTGGGGATTCGCTACACGTGACCCCCCTGGAGACCTCCCCCAAACTCACCCCCACCCCGCAGCGTGGCAGGACTGCAGTGCTGGAGCACGTGTCCCAGGACGGGCTGGAGCTGCCGGGGAGCCTAGGCCGACTGCAGAACCCCGGTGAGCCGCTGGCTGGGGCTGGACGCCTGGGTTCCTTGGTGGGGGGCAGTGGCGGGGGCGGCCTGGACCTCCCAGAGTAGTGGCGGGGGTGGTGCCCGGTTGCCGGACGCCTGGGTTCTCTTCAGGCTCTTAAGGAGGTGGAGGGAAGGGAGACCGGACGCCCGGGTCCTGCTGCTGATCCCCGCCCTCTCCCCTCTAGGGCACGCGATCGAGGCGGGCTGGATGCTCCTGCTCCACGCGCGGGCGCGGGGGGACATGGCGGCGGCGGACGAGGCCATCGACGGCTTCATGCTGGGGCCGCTGGATGCTGGCTGGGACTCGCCCCACGGAGGGCTACTGGCCTTCCACGACGCCGACGGGCTCTGCCCCACGCAGGTGCTACCCACACAGACCCCTCCTATGGAAGTCTCATGACCCCCAACGCCCACGGGAGCCCCTAAAGCGCCACAGGCCACCCCCTACAGGACCCAGTACCTCTCACGTCCCGTGGGTCGCGAGACTCACCACGGGACCGAGGCCCCACGGGACCCCCACGTGATCTCGGTACCGCTCACGCCGGATGCCCCACGGACCCCCAATCCCCGCGCGGCCCATGGACACCTAATATCCCCCAGGATTCTCTCCCCGGAGTTCAGGACCCTCCCAGTACTACCCGCAAACCCCACGCGACTCCGCCCGACCCCACGGGAACGCCCCGCGAGATTCCCCCCATTGGCTCCCATGGGCCTCACAACAATCCAATACCCCCCACGCGACGCTCCGACGCCCCCCAGGACCCTGTTCCGACGCCCCTGTGCCCTCCTGGCTGTCGGAGGCCCACCCCCACAAAGCACGGGGGGATCCCCTCCCCCAGACCCCGCGGGTGCCCGGACGCCTGGGTTCCCACGGGACTGACGCCAGCCCCTCCCTGCAGCTGGAGTGGGCGATGAAGCTGTGGTGGCCCCACGCCGAGGCCCTTGTCGCGCTTCTCGCCGCCTTCGCTCATCGCCGCGACCCAGCGCTACTGCGCCGCTTCGAGCAGGTGGCGGAGTTTACCTTCCAGCGGGTGAGCCCCGCCCCGAGCCCGGCCCCCGCGGGGAGGGGTGGGCGAGCCCGGGCCGGGTCCTTCACTGTCCGCCTGTCCCGCAGTTCCCAGACCCCGAGCATGGCGAGTGGTTCGGGTACCTGAACCGGGACAGCAGCTTGGCCCTCTCCATCAAGGGGGGGCCCTTCAAAGGTAGGGGCGGGTCGGACGTCTAGGTTCCCTCCCTCGGGTCCCCGGGTGGGGGCGGGGCTTCTAACTAACTCCTCCCCCCAGGCTGCTTTCATGTGCCTCGAGCCTTGTACATGTGCGAAGAGCTTCTGAACGAGATCTTAGCTGGGCCGTAGCGCCTCCCCTCTCGGATACCTGAGCTTCTGGGACATCGCCCTCCCGTGGGGGATATTGGGTTTCCCGGAAACCTGGGTCCTCTGGGAGTCCGCCCAGACGCCTGGGTTCCTTGGGACACCTGCTGGACCCCTCCCAGACGTCCCCTACCTGCTGGATCCCCCCTTCCCCCAGCCCTTCCCATCTGGTCGACCTCCCACTGCCCCCACACCTGGGTGCTCTGGGAGTCCGCCCGGATGCCTGGGTTCCCCCCAGCTTCTCCCCACCTTTTCTCCCCCCAGCTGCTGGACCCCCCTTTGACCCCTCCCCCACCACTTGGAATCTGCTGATCTCTGTCCTCCGCCCTTCCTCCCCTAATAAATGTGGAGTCTGTCCTGTCCATTCGTGTCTGTCTGTGGTCGCGGCAGTGCGGGGGGGGGGAGCTCGCAGCCTGCCTGGAACAGGTGGGGGATGGCCTTTATCAAGCTAAAAAGGACCCCAGGCTCTGAGATTACAGGTGTGTTTTTATGCCTCCCGGCCAAGAGCTTGGAGCACTGGGGAGGAAGAGACCCAATGCAGGCACCAGGGGTGATACAGAACCCAGGTGTCCTCCCACACGGAGACCCCAGGTATCCGGGCCGCCGCCGTCGCGTCTTGAACCGGCTTTTCCCCTGAGGCTCTGCCGCAGTGCCCTAGCGTCTTTGCCCTGCCCTAACATGAAGACGCGGGCGTCGCTGCCAGCTCCGTGACGTTTACTCTTCTGGCCACGCCCGGCCATTCCCTCCGGATGCCATTCCCCCCGTCTCCAGCCAGTGGCGGGTGGTCCCTCTTTTTCGCTTCACCCTCCCCCCCCCCCCCCAGCCAGTGGCGGCTGTTCCCTTTATAGCGCCCCCCTCCCGCCTGATTCCCCCCTGCACTCAACGCTGCGGCTCCAGCCTCAGTCCCCGCAGCAACGATGGAAGTTCTCAATCAGGTACGCACTGGCAGGACTGAGGGGGAACTAATACCCCCCACCTTGCAAATGACCCCCTCCCGGGGTGTTCATTTGCACATCCTTGCCCCCCTCTCCTTTTGCAAACATCTGTCCCTTGCAATAGAAGGGCTCCTTCTAAACGCACACTCCGCTTCGTGCATCCTGCCGTTGCCCTCCTGCCAAATCACACCCCCCCAGCCCCGAGCATGCATTTGCCCCTGCTTTGCAAATCTGCCTCCCGCCCTTTAAATGCATGCGACATCCTTATACAAAAGATCCCCCCTATGCAATTGCCCGTCTGCGCTAATTGCTCCCCGGGCAAGCTAATTCCCCTGCCCTCCAAAGATTTACCCGCTGTGTAAATTCCCCACCCTTGGGCATCGCGCCCCCACCTTGGATGCTACCTCCCCTTCTCCCCCC